TATATATATATATATATGTATGTATGTATATATTGAGAGTGAACCTTCTCAGGCCCTAGGCTACATTAGTCATCCCATTTTGTCATTTCAATAATCCTAAGAAATATTTTCATTCACATATCATTGGTGAAGAAATTGGGACACAGGTAGATAACTTCTCTGGTAAAGGGAGAGCTAGAATTCCTTCCTAGGCCTGTCTGTGCTTTCCTCACTCAACTCCCCAGGACGCTGCACCAGTACTGTGGCTAATGCCCTCAGAGACCTCACAATCTGTGCAAGAGAACAGATTCACAGGCAACTTTCTCTGCCATAAAGCAAAAGGAAATGCATCTATAGAGGAGGCCTAAGCAAGATAGTTCAGGGTTGCTCAAAGAAGGATTGAAGGGCAGGGGATGTGGCTCAAGGGGTAGTGTGCTCGCCTGACACGTATGCGGCCCGGGTTCGATCCTCAGCGCCACATACCAACAAAGATGTTGTGTCCGCCGAGAACTAAAAAATAAATACTAAAAAATTCTCTCTCTCTCTCCCACTCTTAAAAAAAAAAAAAAAAAAGGAGTGAATAATTCTAGCTTAGGAGACTGAGAACAGCTTTGACAAAGCAATCCTTTTTGCACTGACCTTTGAGAAATTAGTATAAGTAGAAAAAACAGAGAAGGGGAAGGAACAACACAGCCCACTCAGAGACCCACATGAACAAAGACAAAAAGAGGCAAGGGTGAAGCAAACATGTGGGAAATGAGCAGTGGCCCAGTGTGAGGACCACAGAGGCAGGGAGGTGGGGGCTGAAAGGCAGGCCAGGGCCAGACCAGGGAAGGCCTTGTGTGCCAGGCTAGGGCTGAAATTCTGCCATTTAGGCAACAAGGAATCACAGATGTTTGAGAAGGGATGTCATGCAACCCAACATGTGTGCCAGCATGAAGGAACAGGAGAGGCAGAGAGTCTTGGCTATGGAAAAATCATCCATACAACTGCTGATAAAAGCCTGGACAGGGTTGGGATTGTAGCTCAGTGGCCAAGCGCCTGCCTCACATATGTGAAGCACTGGGTTCAATCCTCAGCACCACATAAAAATAAATAAACAAAATAAAGATGTTGCATCCATCTATAACTAAAAAATATTTTTAAAAAAGAGCCTGGTCAGAGGATGATGAAAATGAAGATCCCCAGGGACACTGCCTGGATGTGGGGATGTCAATCAGCATTTTGAAATCAGAGTAACCAGTGACAAGCCTGTTTGTGGAGTCTGCAAATTGGCTATAATTACCTTTATTCTGTTTTTACTTTTAGTTAAGAAATTATTTTGCTGGAGACGATGTATATGTGGCTCCTGTATTGAAATTAAGATAAAACAACAATTAAGGCCCTGGAGCCCACATACCCCAGCAACAGCACCCACAGGCCCACAGTTCCAGGGGCCTCCTTTCAAGTCACAGGGCTCACAGCACACAAAAAAATAGACCCAGTGGTACGTGCCCCTCAGCTTATCAGTAATGCAGTGTGGCTGGTTTCTGGTTTATATGCTACAGGGAAAACGATGAGCTTTCTAACAGACAACCGTGGAAAATAAAGAGTTCTAAGGATAACCCGGAGAGCAGATTTCATGGGAGCAATGAGGCAAAGGGTGCGGTGATGAATGGTGATGGAAAGTGTTGGGGTAACCCTCCCCTACCCTCTCACCCGACACACATGGAGTTTTCTCTTTCAGGACTGTTATAGCCCCTTTTTTCCTTTTCAACCACCGACCACTCAATTCTTGGAGGGAAAATTAACATTCATTATGCAATTTATCTCTCTCCTTTTAATCCAGAGTGTCTGTCTCCAAGGTCCCTACTCAATAATTAATGTTTGTTCTCATTTTCCATTCTCCAGAGCATCTATTCTTGAACTGTGGGGTCAACAATTAACACTAATTATGGCTTTTCCTCCCTCCACCGTGGGCTCTCAGAGTCCCAGGTTGCCGGCTCCGCCCCGGGGATGGGCGTGCATGTGCTCCGTTGGTGCAGCGCGCAGGCGCACAGGAGGCTGCCTTGCCCAGGCTTCCCAGCTGCTGAGCCAATCAATAAAGACCAAACGTTCTTTTTTTTTTTTTTTTTGGCAAACTCCCTAATATATTTATTACCAGTAATGAAACAATGAAGCAAAAATAAATAAAATACTTGAAATAAATTGAGGTGGGTAATTAGCCTAAACAATCTCTTTTCCAGATCAAATTTGCTAGGATTCTCTTTTTCTTTCTTATTATCTCACATCTTTCTCTCTCTAGCTCACTTCTGGCCACCCCCCTTACACATACACACACACACACACACACACACACACACACACACACACACACACACACACTTTCCCTTTATAAACCATTCTTCCTTCATTTAGGATCCACTCATGGGGCCTCTTTGCTGTTACCTGTCCCTGAACTTTCTTTCTTAGGTCTGTCATCCTTATTCTCTTCAGTCATTCAAACAGCATTGTTTTAATATGTTTTCATTTTGACTGACAAGGACGATTAGGATCTGTTAGGCTCTAACAGATCACAAAAGGATTCATCAAGATGTGTGAAAAGCTTGTCTTGTTGGCTGAAGTCAGGTGGGTTGGGATCCCTCCTCTCTGCCCTGGTCCAATTTGCCCCTTGTTTGGGAGCTACAGCTGGAGACTGGGGCTCTTCACACTTGTGTCTCAGCCCTGTGGCTGCACATCTCTTCAAATCTGGGCACCTCCTCCAGCATATGTCATACGTTCACTGTTTTATGTTCCTTCTGTTAGAAGTTCTCTCAGAATTTCAGCATCATGGGCCCAGGAGTGTTTCACCTTTAAACATCTTAGATTAAAAACAGTATTTTCCTCAATGTTTTAAAAAATCCTAGATCAACATTCTCTCCCTAGTGGCATCAACAGATTCTCAAAACTGTCCAACTGATGCTTAGGCATCAAGGCATCTCCTTGTTTTTTTCCCCTATCTTGGGGTAAGGAAAAGGGACTTTCCTCGAGTTTTTCACACTCTTAGGTAAACTCCCTGATTGTTTTTCAGTCTATGAATCTGCCTATTCAAACATCAGCCATGAAGAGGAAGGATCCAGTATCCAGCAAGTCCTGCAAAGTAAGCTTTTCCCTAAAAGACTGTCTCTACTTGTCTGTCTCATTTGACTCGTGAACATATGATTTTCCTACCTGCACTTCCAGGAGCACATCGTGCCTCCCCTAATATACCAGTAAAAGGGGCTTTACTTCTTGGGAAGCCTGAGAAAAGTGGAGTCCTCATGAATTACTCGAGGACAGCCCAGTACGCTGTAATCTGAGTATAAATATTAGAAAACACTAGAATTTGGCTCCAACCAAGTGCTTGCACTTAGCTGGCCCAGGAAGGGTAAATTGCAGGGCTGTCCTGTGGGTCCCACAGGCTGTACACTGTACAATTCCCACAGTAATGAGGTGGACATTGCTCCCTGGAGTTGTGCACAGCTCAGCCTGCAGAACCACAAACTAGGAAGCTCTATGGAAATGACCCTCTGACTTGCATTTTAAGTGGAAGACTGAGGCCAGCTCTGCCTCTTCCAATTCCTTTAAGTTTCATTTCCCCCATGGAAAGATATACAAAACTTCGGAGCTCATCTTCCACCCACAGACACGGCTGCTGCTGCTGCTGCTGCTGCTGCTGCTGCTGCTTCAGACCAGGGGGAAATGATGATTAGGTAGACATTCTCTCCCTCTCCTAAAAATAGTCTTTGATTAACAGGGAAATGTGTGTGGTCTCTCTTGCTGCTTATTTGGGGGGGGGGGGAGAAGCAGCTTGCAGGAGGGATCTGGCCTAGTAACAGGAAGCAACAGATTGAGGGCTGGAGCCAGAGCTGGGTGGAGGCAATTGTTCTTGCCAGAGATTGCAAAAGTAGGAGAAAAGGCACAGACATATCCTTGCCAATCTCAAAATCTCTAAGCAGAGAAATACCTGCGAGTCTAGACCCTGCATTCCCCCCTTGCTATCTTCTCAAGCAGGCACCCTGACCTCAGTAGGAGGAACTTCAGTGTTCATTTGCTCATTTTCACATTGGGCCAGAGCAACTCTGAAATAGCAGCCTTCTAGTAAGATGATGATGGGGGGGGGGTGGTGATAATGATGTTGATGATGATGGTGGTGATGATGATGGTGATAGTGTGGTGATCATGGTGAATGATGATGGTGCTGGTGGTAGTGATAGTTACCCTACTTAGATCTGATATGCCAAACATTGAGGTTTTTTTTTTCTTTAAAGATTTTTTTAAGATGGACTCAGTATCTTTATTTATTTTATTTATTTTTATGTGGTTCTGAGGATCGAATCCAGTGCCTCGAATGTGTGAGGCAAGTGCTCTACCATCGAGCTACAGCCCCAGCCCCTATCTTCACTTTTTATCTAGGATAATGTGGCTCAGAAAGGTTAACTGACTTGCCCAAAGTTATATGAAGTACACAGCTAGAATTGAAACTTGCATTTTTCTGATATGCCTGGTTACTAGTGGTATCAATATAAATAGCCACATTTCTGTCTGATAATATATGACTTCATAATGACTTCTTCAAACAAATGGCTTCTGTTGAACACCCATCTCCCCCTCCAATTCCCCTTACTCAGTATCAAATACCCTTTTGTGGGTCACTGAAAATGACTTTTTGCAAATTTATGGGGAAAAGAGAAGAAACTGAAAAAAAATAAAACTATGGGAGTACCAGGGTGGAGGCAAATTTTCAGTCAAGATAGTCTGTTTTACAGGATAGTTCTTCAAACCAAAACATTCTTCCTAGTACAGCCAAAAAATGTTATAATTTCACTTATTTTTTATTAAAATGTCACCAAACAAGAGATTTTCTTTGGATTAAGAAGAATCCTCTTGGGCTGAGGGTATAGCTCAATGGTAAATAACTTGCCTTGTATGCACAAGGCCCTGGGTTCATACTTCTGAGAAGCTAATATATAGTCATTCACACTTCAGTGAAATTTTAATCAGTAGTCCTTTTGCAGCCCAGCTGAGATTAGATGCACTGAGGGACTAAAAGTTCTGATACAGGACAGAAACAGAAATGAGTTATTTGGAAGTAAGTGGAGTTTTAAGGGTTGAAACATTCCTGACAGATGGAAGACCCCAAAGAGCTTGGATGAATAGAAGCATGTCAGTATATGGAGGGAAATATAGGGTGTCAGAGACAAACTTACCGGTTCACAGCACGGCCCCATGGCCAGCTCTATATCCAAGAAAGGGAAAAGAAATTTATTCTTTCTCCTCTCTACTCCTAATAACTAAAAGATCACAGAAATCTCTTGCTTCCAAACTTTAAAATACACTGTTCTCTGTGCTTGGGGCACAAACCTCATCTCTTCCTATCCAATGTATTTTTTTTTTAATTGTGGTACAATACACATAACCTAAAACTTCCCATCGGAAACATTTTTAAATGTACACAGTAGCACTGAATTACAATCATATTGTTACCAGCCAATCTCAAGAACTCTTTTCATTTTGCAAAACTGAAGCTTTATACCCAATAAACAACTCCACCTTCTCCCGTTCCCTAACCTCCCGGCAACCTGTACTACTTTCTGTTATCCTCAATTTTTACCCCGGGTCTTGGTTAACTCCTGTTAATCCTCAGTTCCCGATTTAGCTCTCAAGCTGAGAGGCAGGTTTTCTGCTTCCCTCAGCCCACCTTTCCCCGCTCTCCTCCATCTCACCTTCCACCCCTCCAACCTGGTGACAGGCCCCTCCACATGCACACAGTGTACCCATGCTTTCCCCATCACAGCATCTGTCTCACAGTATGGTTGACTTACTAGACTTTTCTCTTTATGCGACTGCAAGCCTTTTTAAGGGCAGGGTGCATTAGCATGCCCAGTACCTGGTGCAGTGCTCTGGTGACACACCTATTGTTAATGTTTCCTAAGTATTTGCTGCTTGAAGGACTTCAGTTACTGGAGGAGTTAAACAAGGGTTTTTGTTTGGTTGTTTGTTTTGTGTTTTCACATTGACTTGGGAGTCTAATAGCCATGCAGAACATAGTCTCTGCTGGAAAATGCTTTCGAATCACTGCCTGTACATAAGCTCAGAGTGCCTCTTTCAGGACTTAGAATATAAGAACTTTATTTGTTCCCTCCATTTGCTCCATGACCTTAACAAAAAGTCCCTACATCTCTTTGTCTAACATCCCCCATTTGTTTTTAAGGAGACGGATGCAACAGTAATATGAAAATACCTGATACCCTCTGGAACTGAGCTAAAAGAGCAATTCATGATATCTTTGCATTGGAATCACCTACACAGCTGTTACAACTTTTTGTTTTATTTTTGGTCATTTGGTTTTAATGAACATTTTTTTCAATAAAAGTGAGAGTAGGCTAGGGCTGTAGTCAGTGACAGAGCACTTGCCTGGCACGTATGAGGCACTGGGTTCAATCCTTGGCACCACATAAAAATAAACAAATAAAATAAAGTCATGCTGTCCCTCTACAACTACAAAAAAAAATTTAAGTGATAGTATTCCATATATATTACATAGATGGTGAACTTTATGGGTATTTGTGTATGTGAAGGTTGGTTTCAATTATTTGCAAATTATTTTAAAAGTTAGGGATACAGCCAGGTGCTGTGGTGCACATCTGTAATCCCAGCAACTTGGGAGGCTGAGGCAGGAGGATTGTAAGTTCAAAGCCAACCTCAGTAATTTAGCAAGGCCTTAAAGCAACTTAATGAGACCCTGTCCCAAAATATAAAATAAAAATGACTAGAGATGTGGCTTGGTGGTTAAGCGCCCCTGGATTCAATCCCTGGTACAAAAAAAAGGGGGGGGGCTGGGAATGTAGCTCAGTGATAATGCACCCCCCTGGGTTCAATTCCCAGTATTAAACACAAGAAAAAAAAAGGTCAGGAACCCATATAATTTATATTTTACAGAGGCATGAAGTCAAATCATAAACACTACAAGGCTGGAAGAAGATCATCACTAAGCTAGTAGATGAGCCTGACAACACGCCAGCACCATGTCTCCGTATTGTGGTCTATAGTCATTATAACATCTGCAATAGCTCTTGTGCCATTATTTTACATAGAAGAGCCTTTATTCATTTATATATAATATACATATATATAACCTACATATACATATACACATATACATTTGTAAAAGCCCTAAAAGACCAACTCTTGGGCCAGAGATGAAAGTAAGAAAAAGTGAAATGGTCTAACAATTTGATGATTCTCTTTCCAAAAAAAAAAAATAGTTTTATAAATCTCTCTAACCTTTTACTTATAGATTCACTAATAGTCTAAAGAACCCTCTCTCTTTTTTCACTCCAACTTCAGTTTTACTGTAGATATGATATATCAGGGATATTCACAAATCTAAGGATTCTTAAAATTCTCAAGGTGTGTCCCTCCCAGGTAGCCAGGATCTGCTGTCATTCAGTATGTGAAATGCATGAGGGAAGAGGCCCAAGCAGTGACGTATTTGGTAAAATGCATTTTCAAGCTGGAATGAATTTTAAAATTGTGTGTGTGCTTGCATGGTGTGTATCAGTTTTATTTCTCAACCTATAATGAAACTTAAAACTTGAAATTTTTGTCAGAGTAATCAAAACAATTATAATTTTCATTAACCAGTCATCAATAAATATTTTTTAATTTTTTTTTTAGTTATAGTTGACACAATACCTTTATTTTATTTATATGTGGTGCTGAAAATCGAACCCAGGGCCTCGCATGTGCCAGGTGAGCGCTCTACTGCTGAGCCACAACCCAAGCCCAATAAATATTTTTTAGAATACCTTTTTCCTGAACTGGAATTGAACCCAGGGCCTCACACATGTTAGGTAAGCATTCAAGCACTGAGCTACATCCCCAGCCTTATAAATATTATTTTCTGTTTTATCACATTTCAAATATTTGTGTTATCTTCTCATCAAAAATAGTCATTAAAAGCATGAGATTTTTCTTTCTCTCTCTCTCTCTCTCTCTCTCTTTTTTTTAATGAGTTTTTTCTTAAGACCTTTTTCCCTCTTAGTTTCTGTTGCTCTTGCTTTCTTCACACATTCCCCTGTGGCCTAAGGATTTTCCTCTATTCTCCATTCAATTCCTCATTTGAAAATTAATGTAAACACCAGCTGGGGATGTGGCTCAGTGGCTGAGTGCCCCTGGGTCCAATCCCTGGTACTGGGGGAAAAAAATTAAATTAAAAAAAAAAAAAAGTAAAGAAGAGATAGAGACTACCACAGAAACTGAATTGGCTGGTCACTTTGTATGCAGATGTAGTTTCAGCTCTTTCTTTAATTCCCTTCCTCCACATGGTCCGTCTTCTATCACAAATATCCTAATCAATCCTGTGATGTATCCTGATTGGAGGGCTTCTCACGTAGTTGATATATTGTTACAACACAATTCAAATTTAAATTCCATCATCTAACTTGGCTTCCATTTGGGGCTTGGTAAACTGCCATGCACCTTTGGACTTCCCCATTAAAAATAATTCATAAACTTTTGAGAGAAGCTGGTATTCCCAAAACGAAAGCCAGATCTTTGAGACTTAGCTAGCCTTTGTCTAAGAAAATATAAGTAAATAAAAGGACTGCTATTCCAAATTGGAGGAAAAATACAGCCCTCCTATTTGCTAGGCACTTCCACATTTAAATTCAGACTGACTCATATTTTCTAGATCCATCTACTCCCAGGGGTATGCCTTTAGCCTGGAGACTTTCTCAGGTCTCCAGGAACTATTTGATATGCCTATCTCACCCTCCTCCTCATCTAGGAAGATTTAAAGGGAGACTGTGCAGCATAAACAGGGTCTTAAATCTTGTCCCAAGAATTTGATAATTACAATACCAAAAGGCCATCTTGGGTCTTGGTCTCCTTCATGAAACAGGCAGACTGAAAATTTATTATAATGCTACAAACGCTCTATAGGTCATAGGCATCTTGAGTCACCCCATATAAAATAAAGTATTTTTAGATATTCTTAAGGCCAGCAGGACCAGAATAATTCTTCCTTTTATAGTTAAGTTTATACTGGGAAGAATTTTATTTTAATAATTTGGAATTTGCATTTGCATTTTCCATTTATGACCAAAAACACAAAACCATGAAGGTACCAGGGCTGGCACTTAAGCCTTCACCTACTGGTTTCTGCTGGGGCCAGCAAGTTCATTATGAAGCCGTGGGAAGGCAGGACAGTTTCTGAGATCTTTTTGGCTGTGGAAATGTCCCAGGCAATGAGATACTACAAGTTATGGGGTTCCATGAGAGCATTCTAGTAATCAGAAAGAGAGATTGTATGGGTGGGAAAAGTCCCTAAACAGATTTAAAGAGGTTCCTGCCAACGCCTCCAACCACTACTGCCCTGGTAACCACAGAAAATATGGCCACCTCGGAGCCTGTAGGAAGGTCCATGTTCTTTGCCAAGCCCTGACATGTATCTAGGAAGGAGCCAGGTGGCCCTCCTAGCCTGATAAGGTGACTCTTTGTAGTTAGGTTTCTATTTTGACATCAGATGAGGCCCGTGAGGCCCGTACCAAAGGAAATAAGTACCTTGAAACAATTGTCATGATTATGTTCCATTTCTCTTTAAACAACAACTTGGGAATGGAACGCTGTCCACGGGGACTTAGAAGGAAATTTTAAGAGGCCATATTCTGTCTAGAATCTGATGCTCTTTCCTGCTTTTTAGGTTTTGAGTGTTAGCTGAAGGATCCCATGATCTGAAAAGGCAGAAGGGGTTTGGGATGAGACCCCCTCTAATAAGGGTCATCTCTGAGACGGCCTGGTTATCTGGCTAGGAATGCTATCTCCTCACTAAAAGCCTGTGGTTAGATTAATGCAAGCGTTTGAAAATCTGTTGGGGCCTGATGGTGGGCAGCCAGGGAAGGAATGTGTTTTCTGTTTATCTCTTTAGTGGCAGAAATGTTCATCACACAAAGACTGTGAGCTCCCAGGTTCACGCATGCCTGGAAGTGGTGCAGTGTGTAGCCCGTGATGTACACACCAGCTCCTGGGCAAGGAGGAGAACCAGGCCTTGTGTTCACAGCCAGGTCCCAGGGTTGGTCAACGGGTTAGTCGGTTTCTCTGACTTGATCGCAGGGATAGATCTTTCCATATTGTTCCAAGAGGCAGTTTTACCACCCCCATTGCTTTATCTCCCAGGAATGCAGTTGGAGTGGTGTCTCCTCCTTGACAGCTGGGACCTCAGTAAATTACCAGGGTCTTGACCCAAGAGATGAGAAGTCCTAAGTGATTTTTCAGTCTCCTATCTAAAAATGTGTTTACATTTCTTGAACTCTGGCTGACTGATTCATTCTCCTGGTGTTGCAAGAACTTCCCTTATGCATTAGAATTTATAAGTTTCGTTTCTGAGAGACCCAAGGTTCTTTCCAAGCCACAGTGAAGTGAACCTCATCGCAACACAATTCGGCTGGGCCGGATTTGTCCAGAGGATGGATCGCCGCCAGGCAGCTGTGATGTGGCAAGCTCCAAGCGAGGCGAACAGGAGGCAGGGATGTGGAGGGAGAAGCACAAGACGTTAAGTCAGGACATCTGGGTTCTGGTTCCTGGTCTTGTGCTATTCTGAGATTCGGCCTTGAGCCAATCTCATAAACCACTCTCTAGGCCTCAGTTTCCCCCCAATCTGACTTAAAATAAGAAATGTTTAAAGTCTCTGCAGAAGCCATTTTCAAATAAGACAGAAGGGAATGGCTGAGTGGGGGGGGGGGACACAGAAGATCAACCCACAGGGGACCTTTCTTCAGGTCAAAAAGACAAAAATAAAATACAGAGTCATGGATGGTCACAGGCTTGTAAAAGAGCTACTTATGAACCAAGAATGGAGAGAACTTTTTGTTGGACACTGATCCCTTAGAGGAGACTAGAATCCTTATGAGTAGAGCCATGTGCTTAGCTAAATCTTTTCCTCAAATAAACATTCCTTTATAAACATTACAGTTACTTTCTTAGGGAGAGAAAAAGAAAAAATAAATTCTACCCTGAAGCATCATGGAGTCTTAGAGTCAGGCAGTCTTGGACTGAAGCCCTCACTAGTTGTTGGCATTCCATATCATCGTAGAGGAGAATCCTGGGGATTACACACAACACCATGTGGTTCCTGCCTCTAGACAGTCTTCATCACGTCCATTAGTCTCCTCACACCAGCCCCACCTCAGCCTCAACCTTCCTTTGTTCCTTGCTCCCACCTCTCCTGTCGATGGTCCACATTTTGAAGGGAAACTGAAGTCTCTCATCTCTCTATCTGGGAGCTTGCAGAAGCATTTCCTACTTTAGCAAAGGGTAATCATACAAAATTTATATTCCACAGCATCAGCAGGTTTTTTCCATCAATATTTCCTTTTTAATTTCAGAGTTATTTGAATTTTAATAGCACGAAGAATTTACTTTTGTTCTTCTAAAGAGCAACCAAAACAAGAAAAAATCCAAATTTGAATACAAGGTCTTAACACCATGTATAGTGTGGTGTTGAGTCTGTGCCTGTAAAAGTTACAGGTGTTATTTGGTGGATAAATCTGAATTCCATAGGTGTATATGTGTTTATAATTTTACATACCTATGATGTAGGGGTGCATGTGTGTGGTTCATATAAAAATTCATGAGACCTAGATATGACAACCTTGATTCTTTTTCTCTCCGATTTTCAACATAGCAAACACTGAATCTGGAACCAATCTTCGCATGAATCTTTATGAACTTTCACCTTTGACCCAAACAACAGAGAAGCAGGTATAGTACTGACTCTGAATGAGCATGATACTCGTGATTAAGACTCCTGGGTTCTTATTCCAGCTTGCTGAGTGACCCTAGGTGAGATTTTTTACCTCTCTGAGCCTCTTTTGCCTACTCACTAAAATGAAGCACATAAACCATCACATCACAGAGGTTACTATACTCAGACTTGGAATGTTTTAACTGAGCTTGGACTATTGTCTGGATCTTCATGTATATCAATAGGCTGAGAAGGCTTTTCCCTGACTTGTTAAAAGTCAGAGAAGGAACAAGGAAACACCAAAAAGCTATCCTCTATTGAGGCAAAAGGCACACATTTTCATCCCTAATGGGGGGGGAAATTAGCAGTCATGGAAAAAATTGCAATGATCATGGAGAAAGAAGAAAACATTTCTTCTATTAATAGATACTAGGAATATCTATTAGTGTTTCAAGGTCATATGTGCAGAAATATTTACAAGTCTGCTTCTTCTTTGAAAGCTCTGAGGCTGGGGCCACCTTCACATTCCCGCTAGAGAGTCAACTCAGGGCAATTCCTAGAGCCGAATCCAAGTCTCAAAGAACCTGAGGCAGAAGCAGCAAAAAGCCCAGGGCACTCCAGTCTCTCCCAGCTGTGTGACAGTCTCTGGGGCCATGATCTCTTATTTCTCCCATATCTCCAACTTCCTGCCACAGTCTGGCTCCCCTCCTCCCCCTCACCTGTTAAAAATAACAATAGAAATGGGTGTTTCCCCAGTGCCCATGCAGGCTTCTGAGGTGGGCCTGAGCTCACTATTGGAACTCAGGCTTGGGTCTGGCCTCTGCTGAGGTAAACACAGCTGGGCCGCCCCTCCCTGCTACCAAGCAACCACAGAACCAACCGTAAAGGTTTTTTGTTTTTTGTTTTTTTAAATGCCTATTTTTGAAGACACCCCTTATAAGGAATCTAGAGGCTTTTTAAAAAAATAAATAAATAAATAAGAGAACCCGTGACTAAGGAAAATATAATATGGTATATTTTGGTAATTCCACAACTCCAAAGGCCATGCAGATGCCTCCTCCACACTTCAAATTCATGCAGCCCCATGACTGCATTTTAACATCACTGGGGATGAAAGAGAACCTCAGTCATGTAATATTAAGTCCTAGACTCAGTCATGAACTTTGCTGTCAGAAAGAAGAGCACCAGGCCCTGGGTCTTAAATTTGAATCCTGGTTCCTCCTGCATAGCTGTGACAGGCTTTACTTACTATGAGAACGTCATGGACCTCCTTTGTGAAAAGAGGGGATAGTTTCCCCCAAAACCAGTTGATTCCTTATAAAGTCTCAGTGGTTTTTATTCCTTTAGAAAAAAGCCTGAATAAGAAACCCTTTGAGGAAAAGTCTAGGGGGCCCCACCAGTCCCCAAACCCAGAGAAAATGGGGAGAAGTTTAGGGGTACTTATGGCCTCTCACAGCCCCTAATTCTCAAAGCTAATGGCCCTTTATTGGATTAATCACTGACTTCCATGTTAACCACTTCCTCAACCCACTCCACGTAAATGACTAATTTCATGTTTACTATAAAGCATCTGGAAAGGATTTAGAAACAAATTTCTGCACAGCAGATTTCAGTTACCTACCTTGATGGGCCACTGGCAAACAGAGTGGATTCCTTCCACTGTGGCCTTTCCCACTCTGAAGCAGGCGACGATATCACACAAAATTGATTGTAATCAGCATCAGCCTGCCCTTGTTTTTTGTTTGTTTGTTTTTGGGTTTTTTTCCATTAATTCCCCCACTAACTCAACCCCCCTCCCTTGGGATCTGGCCCCCAAGGGAGCCACATAAAATATTTTTTTTAAATCATAGTGCCTGCTGAGGTGTGGGGGTGGGGCGGGCCATCCCAAAGGTGGGATATTTTGGTACCAAAACAACCTGTGGGTGGGAGAGTCAGGGAGACTGTCCTTAGCAGCCTGGGTTGAGTGGAGTTTCCAGGTTTGGGAAGTTGCCTCTGGTGCCCCCTACTGGTGGGATTGAGCACCCCACGCCCTGGCCGGAGCAGAACGGGTTAGGATCCTGCCCCCAGTAGCCTGCAGAACACTCTGAAAGGAGAGCAAAAGGTGAGAAGAGCCCCTGAGGCACCCCTTCCACGTCTGACCAGAAGATCAGGAGGATCAGGGCCTCAGCGGTAAATCCTTCAGTAGAAATGAAAGCAGCAACTGCCATGAGCAACTTCTAGGAGTTGGAAGAGGGGGTTAAGTTGTGGGAAAGAGGGGGAAGAAAACTACAAGGGGAAATGTGGAGATGAAAAGAGCAGTGAAAAAAGAAACAGGAGACAAGCAGACATGTTTCAACTCCAAGCTCCCATTTCCTCTTTCAAATGAACTGCCTCCCCACTGTGAACAGAATCAAGTATTTATGAAGGCATTTTTTGCATATTAATAGCTGCATATGGATGGAGCCTTGCCAGTTCTGAAGTCCTAAAGGTACGGTGCCCTTTTTTTAATGCAGGTCCTCCCAACTCCTCACCGAATTTGGTGTTCTTCAGATTTATTTCCCTTTCTGCCTTGTGGCTCCTCCTCAGGCCCTGCATTTCATTAAGGGAAATTAGTTCCTAGGATACCTTCAGAGACCAAGCGCGGCTCTTCCCTCTGTGGGTAGCTGACATCAATCGCCAGAGAGCTTTTCCTCCTCCCCAGGGCCTCTCTGTGGAGGCTGCAGGTTGGGTGAGGTGACCAGCACCTAAAAAGAGTATTAAAATTCCTCAAAGAATCATTAACATATCTCTGCCGTGGTAGAAAGTAAAACTAGAAAAAGTAAAATAGTTTCATTGACTTTAACATTACTGTCCATACTCAATAAAGATTCAAATCAACATTGAGAACCAGTCCAAAGAATAAGCAAAAGACATAAGCAATTAACATATTAAAAAATGATGGTGGGGTGTGGCTCAGTGGTGCAATGCTTGCCTAGCATGCACAAGGCCCTGGGTTCAATCCCCAGCATCACCATTAAAAAAAAAAAAAAAAAAAAAAAGATGGTAATAGAAAACAAATATGGAAAAAATATTCATCCTAATAGCAATATTTTTTCTGAGTAGCAAATTAAATGCATATTGAGGCAAATTCCATATTGAGATTTCTGCCACCTCCCACTTTTTTAAATGATTGCACCCAGAGCTGCCAAGGTGTTGGTAAAACTGGTACACCTACAAACTTATGCCATATTATAATTTGGTTGGATTCATTTGTACAGCAATGGCAATATGACTCATGAAATATGAAAAGGTATTCATCCCCATTGACTCAGTATATCTGACTTCTAGAAATTTATATGAAGGAAATAATTCAGCAGGGGGAAAAATGAGTAAACATATCCATTGCAGCATTACCTTAATAGAGAAAAATTGGAAACAACCTAGAAGTCTATCAGAGAATTGATTATTATGATGGCATAGAGGTTTAATTCATGCACTTTTTTAAAAGATGATTATTCATGCTAGAAACTGTGACTTAATACTAATGATTCAACACAGGGTTTCTTAACCACAACATCATTGACATTTTGGACCAGATGGGGAGATATCCTGTGCCTTGTTAGGCTATAGATTGACATCCCTGGCCTCTACTCCTTAGATGTCAGTAGCACACCTGCCCAGTTGTGACAACCAAATGTTTCCAGATCTTGCTAAATGTCCCCAGGGTAGCAAAATCGCCTACCTCAGTTGAGAACCACTGATTTAACATTTTGAAAGTACAATTATACTTGAAACTACTGTTTGTTTTGTTTTAAACTATCTATAAGGAAAAGACTTGCAAATGATACAATAAAAAAGTACAGTCAGGCTAACTTGAAATTGAGGTGTGCTGAGTTTTTGTTGTTGTTGTTGTTGTTGTTGTTGTTGTTGTTTGCTTTTATTTTGTTTTCCTGGGATTTTTTTTTCAATTTTTTAAATTCTCCCTATAAAAGGGAAAGAAGGATCATGAGAAGAGCTGATTTTATCCAAGAGTAGCTTAAAATATCTAGGAGTCACAATATACAACAAGAATACAGCAAGCTAAGCAGGGCTCAACACCATAGCACCATCATTTTCTTCAACTACTATTGGTTGAAGTATTTAACCTTAGCTAGGTTTTTATTAGGCTATTGAATAGAGCCACCAGAATTCACCTTTCAAAGACCTCAACCCTTTTTCAACATTTTATCCCTCTGACTGTAAGGCTCAGGAAGACAATGAATTTGCGCCTCCCTCCCGCCCCCCCACCCATTCCACCCCAGCTCTCAGAAAACTTTGGGTCTCAAGTATGAAACTCTTGTCCACCCAGTCAGCTTGGGACAAAGGCAGGGGTGCTGAGCCCAGTGGTTTAAAGAACTGACAGAGCAAAGAGGTTGTCAGCAAAGAGTAAAGAGCAAACTCAACCTCTAATTAGATTTCCCAAGAATCCTTGCATCACTTTGTCTAAAATAAGAAAACGAGTATCTCCCCTGGCCTCACCTAATGGATTTTCTCTCTTTGTTCTAACTATCTCCAATATTGGGAGAGCAAACAGCCTTTCTCACATACTTTATCTTGGGTTTGGTTTTTGTTGCTTTGTGGAGATTAGACACAATTTAGTAGTGTCCTAAAGATTCTGTTCAATTTGATTCTATGTGTCCTAAATTTGCTCTTTTGGAATTTCAGAGAGTAACCTGTAATTCTAGCATGCTAGGATTGGGGATGAATAAACCTGTGTACCCCATCTGTTTCCTCGGGAGTTCATAGATTTTTTTTTTTCATATTTCTTGTCAGCTGCCTTCTTTCAAGACAATAAACCCACACATACACCTGTGGACCCACTATGTTTTGTACAAAGGTTTTAAAGTAACCTTTTGTCTCAGTGTCCTTCAAAGCAATACCATACCCTTTCTTCTGGTTAACATTTTGGAAAACTGTTACCTAAAAGAACAATCTACATGGGTTGGGGCTATAGCTCAGTGGCAGAACGTTTACCTAGCATGTGTGAGGCACTGGGTTCAATCCTCAGCACCCACCACAT